CGGCAGGGAGAACGACTCTTCCCGTAAATAACCAGCCTGTTAATTGTGCATCCATTCCTGTAACCTGAACGGATGCTCCTGATTCTTCAGCATGTTTACAGAAAGTGATAAAAGCAAGAAAAAACTTGGTGTAGACTTTAGCAGGCCTGTTCCAAGCTGATAATGGAAGTGTGACTGACCCCACAGACATGCTTGTAGGCAGGTCTTTCCCCACATAAGGCTTTGTTTCTCTGTTTAACACAGCACACTGGTAAGATCGTGCAGCTTGCAATACTACCCTGTCATCTGAGTTCAACATCAGCTGCCTGTGCTCTGGTTCCCAAGATGCCAGCAGCCCTTGTGGAGAACAGCCAGGTTATCTGCGAGGTGTGGGCCAACAACCTGGAGGAAGAGATGAGGAAAATTCGTGAGATCGTTCTGAGTTACAGCTATATTGCAATGGTAAATATTTATACCTGATCGACCTGCCTTAGTCAAGGGTTTTTTTTGGGGGTAGGGAAGTAAGTTGTTTCTTGAGCAATAAGTTATTTCCCCCTATCCTGAGTTAAACCAAGCTAGAAGTGGTGAAAAATCAGAAAGTTGAAGCGTTCTAGAATTTAATTCAACAAAAAAATTAAACAGATGAGATGTATGATTGGGTTTAAATCTTCAGTTTTCCATCAGCATATTTGTGCTTTGAATGTCTTTCTCCATTTGGTTAGGGAAGATGCCATGGTCCTGGAGGACCAGTGGCCTACCAGGGACAACTAGTCAGCTGGGCTGCCTCCTTTTAGTAAAGTCAGATGTTAATTCCTAGAGAAGAAAAATATTCTGGCTGTGGGTAGGAGAGTGTGTTGAGAAAATTTTATTTAAGATGACCAGAATCTGCCCCAGGTGGGAAGGATCTTTTCCTGCTTTTACAAGTCCATATCTGCTTGGCAAGAGCCAGTGAGATGCCTAAATAACTGGGTTTAGTTACGATGCTCTAAGTTATGCCACCTTTGTTTAGGAATGTTAAACTTCAAGATATGAACAGTTCTTAATAAAAAGGTGGCATAAAACCACTTGACCCTGTAGAGTGTGTGGTATTCTGGTGAACAAAGTTGTGTGAGTGAATAGTTTTTTTATTATCATATGTTGACAGGAATTGAGCTTTCTTGCTTCTGTTTGATCTCACTGGAAGTGTCCTTATGATCTGGTTTAGTGGCTGTGCTGTGAGAGTGGACACAAAAATATCTTGGGCAAGGGAGGAGTGTTGCCAGATACGCAGCACTGGATTCCCCAGGAAAGCTTTTGCACATGCTCTAGTCAGGGGGAGTTCTGTGACCTGGTCTGAGAGGAAAAATAGCGTGGCAGAGTGGGTTTCAGCAGAGGAGCACACAGCAGCTGCCCCAGGAAAATGTTCTTCATCTAATGGGTGGTTGCTCTCTTGTTAAGGTCTGTTTTGATTGGCAGCAGCTTTCATTAATGTAGGCATTGGCTGATGCTCAAAACCAGGGAAGGTTGTCACTGTCTGGACTATTGAATGAAGATGTTCAGGCTGCTAAATTTAACTTGTGTTTAGAACGTGAAAGAACACTGAGTAAATAAATAAATGTCTGTGTTAGTAGATTTAGGGGAATTGAGAGTGGTGGTCCTTTGTGAGATAGACGTTTAGGTTGCACAGTGGTGTGTATTGGATCACTTTGTATGAATGGCTTTGGAATGAAACAGAACTGAAAGGAGGGACACCTGGAATGAATGAATGAATGAATGCAGTAGTTAACAAGTGGTGTAGGGTTTTGGTTTTTTTTAGTGTCTGATCTGTAGCAGTTTAAAATCTGTATGAATATGGAAAGGGAGAAAAAATAGGGAATTTTTGTAGAAGAATTCACAGTGCTAAGACCTGTAAGCCTGAATAGGTGTGATCAGTGACAGTGAGGACTCTGGCAGAGGAGGTGTTGAGCTGGGATTTGCTGCTCTCTGCAGGACACGGAGTTCCCTGGGGTGGTGGTCAGGCCGATCGGCGAGTTCCGCAGCTCCATAGACTACCAGTACCAGCTGCTGCGCTGTAACGTCGACCTCCTGAAGATCATCCAGCTGGGCCTGACTTTCACCAACGAGAAAGGGGAGTACCCTTCCGGCATCAACACCTGGCAGTTCAACTTCAAATTCAACCTCACGTGAGTCTCTTGAGCTAGGGCCTTGGGGCCTGCTGTCCTCTGCTGAAGCAGTGCTTTCCTTTGGGAAACGCGGGTGTCTGTACGCTCAGCGTCAGTGGCTGCTTCTCAGCAGTAAAAATTCAGATTATGTGGGATCCTGTTCTGGCTTGGTAAGGGTTTGCAGTATTTCTGTAAGTCAAAGCCATCCCTAAATCCCAACCTCCATACCCTTTCCTATGATAAATAGCCTACCCCAATGATTGTGTGTGCTTTAAACTTATTTCTGGAACAGTGTTATGGTCTTGAACTTTACACTTTTATATATCTATATATATTTAAATAGTTATTTACTTATGTGTACAATTAACTCCATCTCTCTCTGCTAAAAATAAATGGATGTTCTGTTTTCAACAAAAAGGAAAATACTTCTTTACAGAGCTGTGCTTAAAATACAAGCTGGAATCTAAAGAAAAAAAAATATTGTTGTAATCATTATACTTGTTCATGAGAGTGAGTCTTGTTAAATGGAGTGTGGCAGATGTTCTTGTATTCTGCAGCGTTGTGGGTTACAGTTGAAACAAGTTTCGTTACCACTTCCTTTGTAACTGTAAAGACAAACAGCATCATTACCACTGGAGCTGCCTGGAAATAAAGAGAGGGTTATCTGGAAGAAATAGCCATTTATAGGAAATCAGTCAGTATTTTTATAGAACTGTCATTAGAAAACATTACAAAAATTCATAGCTAGTATGTGCAGATCATACGGTTTTTGAAACCAAAAGCTGCAGTTCTTACTTCAGCATCTTATTGAGCCTCTTTAAGTTAAGTGTTTTTCACAGTGTGATCGCTTCATTTGACTCGGTTGTCCTATTTGGGATGAACTTTGCTCTGTCTTGTCACATCCTTCTCTCCCCCACCACCCTTAAATGAAGCAAATTGGTTCAGAAGTCAGGTTCCTGCTCAGCTCTCCACCAAAGGTATCACCACTCATTGCTGCCATCCTGCCCTAGTGCAGTATTACACAATTTTGTTTACTCCCAGGGATGGAACTGGAGATGGTGATAAGTTGGTATGTGGTGTGAAGTGAAAAAGAAGAACATAGGCAGGAGTGATGCTCGTTGCTTTAGGGTTGCGTGTCTTCCTTTCTGGGAGGACTTCCTCTTCTCCATGCTCTGACCTGTGGTGCTTCTGTTCACTGTGCAGAAGTGACATTTTTCAGAATGTTGTTTGGATCTGTGGAGGTGGGTTCTTTGGAATTTGCACTGGCAACAGAATTATCAGCTAGTTAGGATGGCAGAATAGCTTGTTACAGGGGTCGGAGGCTGCAGCAGTGGTATTAGAACTGCTTCAGCTGGAATCTTCTAGAGAGGCAAGCGTGGAACCCAGGGATAACCTCCTGGTTAACTTTTGAAATACAGTTTGAAGAGAATTTCTCTAAAATGGGCCTGATTTGGTAGCACCTTGAGTATAAAGCTGCTTTTGTCCTTTAGGGAGGACATGTACTCTCAAGACTCCATAGACCTCCTTGCCAGCTCTGGGCTGCAGTTCCAGAAGCACGAAGAGGAAGGGATCGATACCCTGCATTTTGCCGAGTTGCTGATGACGTCTGGGGTGGTGCTGAGTGACAGTGTGAAATGGCTGTCCTTCCACAGGTGGGGCTGGGCTGGGCACCCACGCGGGCACGTGAGGAGCCTTTTCATTGAAGTACTGCTGCTTTTGTCCATGGAGGCTGGCACAGGGTTTTAAGGAGAATTAGCTGCTCTGCAGTCTCTTAAACTTAATGATGGAAAGGTGAAGTTTAAGAAGTAAGGACACTTGGTGCATCATTTTGTGCTGGCACTTACTGTGATCTGAATTTTGTGTATGCGTTGCTTGCAAATTTACCAAGGCTCTGGGCCTGGATACCATCACAAGTGAAAGGACTTGAGGGAGGACAATGTGGTGGCAACAGCTGCTTAGAGGGTTTTGTGCTTTTCTGTATTGCCCATAGCTACAGAAACTGGCAGTGCTGGGAAGAGAAGTATGTTCTTCCCAGTGGCTTGGCTGTTCTGCAGGAGTTTAGCAGAGGTGCCCAGGGGACACTCAGAACTCCTGCACTGATGTAGATGATGAGGTTGAATTCTGGCTCTGAACCAGAGCAGTTTTATAAATATGAGAAAATGTTGAGGTTTGAAAGCTAGAGCATGTCAAACTCTTGTGAAAAATGTGATGTTGGTATCAACTGAGTTTGTGTTGCCTACTTAGCTGGTTTCTGAATGGTTTTTCTTTTCAGTGGCTATGACTTCGGCTACATGGTGAAGTTGTTGACAGATTCCAGGTTACCAGAAGAGGAACATGAATTTTTCCATATCTTGAACCTTTTCTTCCCATCTATCTATGATGTAAAGTACTTAATGAAGAGCTGCAAAAACCTCAAGGTACATTAATCTCCCCAGGAAGCGATGGACGGGCATCACCACTGTAAATGTGCAGTAAGCCCCAGGACACACCTGCATATATCAAGTCTTGAAACTGGAACACATAAAAGCTGTTAATCTCACATAATTTGTATCTAATCAATACTGCTGCCCCAGTTTTAGACTTATCAGTATGTATATTATGTAGGGGATGTTTCCATAACCTTCTGGTTTGTGGATCAGTAATTTCAGAGGGTAAATATAATTCAGCATGATTATCTTTCCTTTGTGAGGGGGAGTGTTTCTTCCTACATGAACTACTGCATGACTTGATTAACTGGTAGCCACTCAGAGGGTTGAAACTAATTTATCTACTGAATCACAGCCTTGGTTGAGCAAATGGAGGGAAAGGTCCAGCATTTGTAACTTGCAAATGTACCCACAGTCATCTCAGGTCTCTGCAGCAGGAAGGCAAGGTACCTGAATGTGAGGAGTGTGTGTGTGAATTCTGGAGCAAGATCACTGTTTTACTTGAAGCTGGTGTCGGTGTACTGCTGGAATGTGCCCTGATTGATCACAGCCAGTGTCTGCCCTCACGTTTTGGAGAAGTGGGGCAATTTTAGTAAGAGATGGATCTTCCAAAACAAAATCTGTTCTGTTCTCATTGCAGGGTGGCCTTCAAGAAGTGGCAGATCAGCTGGATTTGCAGCGAATTGGACGACAACACCAGGCAGGATCAGACTCTCTTCTCACAGGAATGGCATTCTTCAGAATGAAAGAGGTACTGCAGTGTTCTTCTTTATGGTTCTTTGTTCTCCAGTTTCTATTTGTAAATGTCAATGTGCACAGCGTGGGGTTTTTGTTTTGTTCTGGGTTTTCCTTGAGCCTTGTGGCCATCACACTTCAAATTGTCAAGAACAGGAATTGTTGAGAGGCAGAGACTTCTGTGTACTCCTCTTTTATGTGCTTATTTGAATTTGCACGCTGCATCTTGGGAGGTGGCTGACTTCGGATGAGCTGCTTAATTAACACTGAGTGCTTTCTGATTGAGAGGCACAATTAAACAATACCTGTTTCTTCCTTTTTTTTTGTTTTTCCAATCCGTAGTTGTTTTTTGAGGATACAATTGATGATGCAAAGTACTGTGGGCGGCTGTATGGCCTTGGCACAGGAGTGGCTCAGAAACAAAATGAAGATGTGGACTCGGCCCAAGAGAAAATGAGCATTTTGGCTATTATCAACAGCATGCAGCCGTGATAAGCACTAGCCTTCAGCAGAGCATGGTTACCATATTGGCAGCTGCTGTCCTCAATCATTGTCCCTAACAGCGTCTCAAACAAAAGGCATCTACAGTGTACAGCCTGCAGTTTTGCTGAAGAGCTGCGTCTTCATTTGAAACTCAGAAGAAGAAGACTGACTGAATTCCTAATGCCAGCATTTGTGGTTTGCCATATTTTTAATACTAAGGGCAAAAGACAGAACCTACTGTGTATACCTCTGTTTTTTTCCTCTTTATACTGTACAGAATCTGCAAGGAAAGCCTACCAGTAGAATATTCAGTAGAGCTGAGGGTCTGGAAATCTTGTGAAAATGGACACAGACATGCACACAACTTTGCAAATTGTGCTTTATAAAGCTTATTTTAAAACTTCTGCATGTTGTGAGGGTGACTGCTTCACCTCATGTTCTGCTTATTTTATCTTTGCATAGACTGTGGAAATTGCTCCCTTTGATCACTGCAGAGGTTTGGCAACGGGTGACATTAAAAACGATCCTTGCAGCTAAAAATACTCAGAGATTTGCTTTAACAACAATGGGAGTGGATATTATTGGAGCTGATTTCATCAGCTCTCCATAGTTTCTAATTCTGTACAGTTGGTACAGGTTTGACCCATACTGAGCCCCAGCTTATTTCTTATGGGTATTAATAAACTGTTCTGGAAACAGATTAAGAGGCCTAAAAGTTCACCTTTGACAGAGGATTGGACCAGTATTCTGATTCAGTTTTCTTCAACTTAACCTACTTTTATTCTTCTTTTTGCAACACAAGTATATCAGCAGTATTTGTTCCTCTTCTTCCCCCTGCTTCTCCAGCCCCTGATTCTACCAACAGAAAAAAGAGCTCTGTTTACTCTTCATTATATACATCTGAAAAGTAGTTAGAGGATGCAAGAACAGCTTTGGATTCTGACTTTTTATAAAGTGAGCTATTCTATAGGATGCTTTTCCCCCCAACAGCTCTGTAATGACACTTCTTAAAAAAACAAAACCAAACAACAAAAACCTAACCAAAAAACCCATCCTTCTGGACATGGCAGACTTTAAATTTTTAATACTTTGCCTTACACTTTAAACAAACTCAAACAATCCATCATTAGGAGTTGAGGTTCAGAGCTGTTAATTAAAATGCTTGTAAATACTACTTGGTTTTAATTTTTGTAAAATAAATTTTTTTAAACCAGGCCTTGTTTTGGATTTTTCCAACAAGCACTAAAATTCCCAAAGCTGAGGCTCGAAGATGCTCAAGTTTGTTTCTTCTCTTGCTATTGATGATGTCTTTGTGGGGTAGTTCTTACTAAAATCTGCTTTTGATCTTATTGTGCAGCAGCTGATGAAAGTTGAGCGTTAGATCTCTTTGGGGGGACTTGTGTTCTCCTTCTGCTCCTCTTGGCACAGCTGGCAGTACTGTGGAGTGACAAACCTGTTTTGCTCATCTGTCCTGTGCGGAGGTTTCCTGCCTCATCTAAACTCTAGTGGTTCTTGCTTAAAGTGTAGGAGGGCTGTTTGGCTAAGCACTAGCTCCCTCTCCTGGTTTTCAAGTACTTCCAGAATTTAGAAAGTTCAAGTTAGGGGCACGAGTTTACTCTCCTTATATTGTAACTCCTGGCTTTCACCTGCTGCTTTTCACATTGTTCTGAGGCTTTACTCAGCTCGGAGCAGGAAATCTTATCGGTATCAAGGCTGCATTTTGGCTGAAGAATTAGGAAAAGATCTTGATACTAAAAAAATCCATCATCTCTATTTTTTGTCTTAATAATCTTTACTGTATTATAAGCTTTCTAAATTCACAGCCCCCCCATCCTACCATGAGCTTTTCTGCTGCATTTAAAAATTTCCTTCTAGAAATTACTGAGATGGATGCCGTGTTCACTGAGGCTTATGCAGCCTTGTTCTTTTCTTAGGAAGTTAGTTTTCCTAACAGGACAGGCAAAGCCTTCAGCAAAGCTGTAAAACTGGTCAAGATGTTGCATGTTCTAGACTCCAGAACCTAGGACTTTTTTTCACCACTTCTGGAATAGTAGTTTCTCTAAAGAACTTGATAGTACCTCAACTTTACCATCACTGTAATGAAAAGCAGTTGTTCAGCCATGGATGTTGCCAAAACCAGGGACTCTTCTTTACCTACAGAAATTCCTTATATCTTGCTGGTCACGCTGGAAACAAGTATAAAAGATTTTGCCCTCCCTTTTACACTGTCCAGGTGGCTTCACTGTGCACAGCTAAGTCAGAGCACACACCTTATTCATCTACAGTTTGATTGATGTAGTACATTTAACAAAAAAAAAAAAATCCCCAGTCTTATTTTTAATGCACTTACCCTTCACTGATATTGATTTCTATCCATCAAATTAAATGCCAGTTCACGGTGGTAGAAGACTTTATTTAAAGGAGGGAAAATAAACTCACAATGCTTTTAGGAACAATACTGGCATAAGGGTCAGTCTGCTTATAGAAACCATTGTTTTTCCTGAGGGCAGCTACTATTGCTCCTCTGCTGAAAGACTTGATACAGCTGCTCAGAACTGTCTCTTTCATGTAAATAGCAAGAACTCTCATTAACATCCAACAAATAACTAAAAAAAAGTATACAAAAGTCCTGTATACAGTTCAAGGCCACAACCTACTGCTTGTCAGTTTTCTAACACAATCTCCTCATGTAGTTGATGACCACAAGTGAGTCAGCATATAAACATGATTTTTATCCAAAATAACCACAGTCATGAAAACAAGCCTTCACTTGAGGAAGAACAGCCGTGGCATTATGCAGCTGTGGACAGCTCAGGGAAGACAGTTTGGTCTCAGAACATCATGTCAAAAACCTCCTGCCAGCCTTTTTGTAAATATTGGAGGTACCATGTTTCCTCAGGATGTCCAAAGCCTGTTGGTGTAGTGCAGGAGGGCACTGGGATCCCATGTGAAGGAGTACCAGGCAGCACTCCAGCACATCAGGGAACGGGAACACCTGCAAACAGGAAAGGAACATGAGGTGACATCTACTCTTTCAATTATAATTGTTCAACTGCAGCATATTCAGGCAGCCAGTGTTCTAGAGACATCACTTTATAGTATCTTTGGAACACAGGGTCATGACTCGAGATGCTTTTTTTTCCCTCTTCTTCCAGTGCACCAGCTCACATGTAACCAGGTTTGCGCCCTCTCACACAATCACCATCATTACCTTTAGTTATCCCCTCTGTTCTCCAGCCTATAATATGAGACAGCCTAGGAAACCATTTTCAAATGTGTAATTTCTACAGTTCCTAACTTATAAAGGCCATTTTATACCTTCCATTTCTGATTCCACTCTATCAAAACTGGTTTTGCATATGTAATTCTAAATAGCAAGGGATTACTTTTAAAATGCACGGGAGAGATTCATACAGAATATCCCACCGAGTTCTCCCATGCAGGGCCTTTACCTACACTTTCCAACTGCAGGGAGAAAGTTATGCTTGGAAGAAAAATATTACCCTCATACCATCTGTCAATTTTTTTTTTCAAAGTTGCTGTAGGATCACAAAGACAGTCATTGTTTCTTACTTTCTGTATGAAAGGGGTTCTGTGACAAAGCTCCCCTTACAAAAATACTGTGTTTTTTTCAGAGCCACAGTGCCTCTCTTCTGAAAAACTTACCTTTAACCTGTCTGGAAATTCTGCTAGTTTCTGCTTAGCTTGTAGAAGCTGCTTCGTTAGCTCAGGGAGTGTAATTGGTTCCTTGCCTTCATCTTTACTGTCAAGAAAAGAGCAGATGTCATGAGTAACTGTTTTGCTTAAATGACTGCATAGCCTCCCTCCCGTAGGGAGCACAGGAGAGAGCTGGACAAGTGTTACATGCTCTAGCTCATTCTTGCCAAAGGCCCAAATAACTGTTCAGCAGAGGCAGACGTCTTAGTTCTTGCCTGTCCTTTTCATTATCCTCCCCTTTTCAAGCTGCCTTGTGTATTCACTGTGCAAACACACCCGTGTATCAGGAAGCTATTCAGCTGTGCTAAGTTCACGCACATGGTTCAGCCCCAGGGAAACGCAAGATTTTTGAGCTGCATGACAAGCCTGAGATTAGAGGCAGTCTGAGCTGAACAAGAAATTTACTGCACAAGCACACAGAAGCAGCAATGCTTTTCCATCCACTCATTCATGTTCCGAAGCTCACCGGTTCATCTGCCCGCTGTCAGAGCACGGTTTGTCTGATCCAGCCTCTGAACTCTGCTGCGGGTTGTCTTCCTGGGTGCTTCCATTTGTGTTTCCCTGGAGACTGTTCCTCTGCTGCTGGTGCTGGTGGATCATATCTGCTAAAATCTGCTGGACCTCAGCTATATCTCCCTGGGTGTTCTGTAATGCAGCAAACTCTTCAGAAAGAAGCACTTGGCAGCCATTCAGTTTTAACTGTCTGTCACTCAACTCCACAGAGCTAGTTCCAGAGCCACTTTCTGACTCACACCTATGAATTTCAGTTGTATTGCAGAGGTTTTCATCAATCTCAACTGCAGTTTGATCAGGAGTTTCTTCAGAGGATGAAAGCTGACCTGAAACATAACTCTTCTCAAGAGCTTTCTGCTCACTGGGACACAGCACAGGATCCGGAACAGCCTTTTGCAAGGCAAGGGAGTCTTTGGGGGGCTTCCACCACAGGTCATACAGCAGTCCGTAAGCCACAAAGGCTTCTAAACTTCTGCAAGCATCCATGCTCTCAGAATTTGTGCTGTCCAGTTTTTGTCTCAGTTTATCACAGCCTAATAATGAAAAAAATTCCAAAGATTTTACAAAGATTTCCAAAGAAGAAGAACAGATCTGGTAAATCAACAGCTGTCCTGGAGACCCGAATCAGATCTTTGCTCAGGTGTTGGCAGAGTGATACAGGAGAGAAAGACAAAAGGCAGACATCTCTGGCACCTTTTAAAACAAATCCTCTGCAGAGAAGGGAGCAAAGGGCTGGCTGGAGTGACAGGTAACTATGAGATGAACACAGCTTTCCAGTGGCCCCACCTCCCTTTCAGGACATAACTTGCTCAGCTTCCCACATCACCCACACCAGCTGCCGCTGCCGAGGTTCCTTCCAGAGTCAGGAATTCTGATTGCCCAATGGCCCTTGCACTAGCCAAATTCCATGGGTTTCCATGTATATGGGTCTGTCTTGCTCCTTCCAGAGCATTATTATTATTATTACTAGTAATAGTAATGGACCCACAGCTGTGCTTACAGGGAAGATCACAGAATCATTAAGGTTGGAAAACACCTCTAAGGTCATCAAGTCCAACTATCAAAGATGTTCCCATCTGTCAGTTCCAGGAGACATGCATGAAGAGACTTACCTTCAGGAAGGACAATACTGCATATCTCTTGCATCAGAGTGAAATTACCAGCATTGTAACTGCGGGTCACAGCTCCAACAATACTTTTCACTGCCTCATCCCAGGTAGCAGTCTGAAAGCTCAGGGCTGCAAGGGTCAGGTCATGGGAGATGTGGAAAAGCACCTACAGGAAGCACCAGAGAGCAT